GAAGCTTCGTGTGTAGTACGGTTGACAAACAAGTMTTAGGTGGGACGTGGGATCGGGATCAGCTATGAGGCTATGACCCATTTCGAATATCTTAGCTTAGCCTGAGATCAGACCGGCCAATATGTTGAGCCAACAATCATAATCATATGGTATATAAACGTTACGACATCATAGATTTTTCTTGTATTTTCATACTTCAAAACAATTACGTACACGCGCAGAACAAAGTCTATCGAGGCCCAGATTGCCCACCCCAGCCCATCCTCATCTTTGACCAGCTGTAGCCGGGGGCCCATTTCCAACCTAACCCAAAGAATAGTAACAATTCATGCATTGGTCTACTAGTATCCCCTAATGACATTATTTAGATGCCTTGTTTTGCCGTCTTAGTATTATAGCCGTGGGCAGGCCAGTGGTCCCCTTGGTCGGCTCGGTTCAAATTACCACCACATCTCTACTCACAGCTTGCCGAGTCTCAACTTCATTTCACTCATAACTATAGGGGACCGAGTCATGATTTTACAGGGTTTGGTTTGGCAGCGGAAGAAACCCATGCATCTAGCACAAGCATTTTGTGATGTAAGGGCTAAGCGAATCCTTGCATTTTAGGATAAGCATTTTGTGATGCAAGGGCCAAGTAAAGCCATATTGATGGTTTTACTAAGGTCATTGGCATTGGATCATGACCTTATTGCTTATGGTTAAAGCTCTTGTATAGTTTATGATGTATTCTCGATGTGCGCTTAGAATTTGTTGTGGGGAGCATTTTATGAGGAGCAGATCCGAACTCTTAATATGTGGTCTTGGGAGCAAGGTTCAAAATTTTAATACATATCGGACCGTATCGGCCAATACGGTTTGATATGGGGAACATTTTATGAGAAACAGATCCGAACTCTTAATATGTGGTATTGGGGGCAAGGTTCAAAATTTCAATACATATCGGACCGTATCAGCCAATACGTATCATATCAGAAGCTTCCCAATACACCCCTACAAGAAGTGTTTCGGGATCTTAACCAGTTCAGGGGTGGACGGACCTTAAACTGACCCCTTTGTAATTTGAAAAAAAAAAACTAAAAAAATAAAAACTATCGATACTGCCTGATACGCTTCGAATAAATTAAGCTTATTTTTAGATTGTGACATGGCCGTGATTCCTTTTGCTAATGACTCCTTCGGGTCAAGTGATAGTCTAGTGAGTCAAAGTGGTTGACTCCTTTTAGTCTATTGCCAAGTCACTTGGTTCCTAGTCAAGTTTACATTATTGAAAAATGGAACTTCGAATGTTTTTATACTCACGAAGTGTTCTTCAATGTATTATTTTTGTTGTTAGTTTCAAAAGCAAATCAAATCCATATGCTTTGTAAATAAATTGGTTCTTAAAACAAAAATAGAGAAGACATGTTCTTGGTGGTATGTGTTTTTTGTTTTCAAAATTGAAACCAAAAGCCATTCTTGAATTTCAATTTCAAAGAGCATAATCTTGAATTAAGATCACAGTTACATAATCTTGGCAATTGGTGAAGGCGAGGTGGAAGGACGAAGCTGCATACCAAGATCTAGAATTGAGAAAAAGATCAAAGGTCCGATGAATTATTTTCCAGATAGACACTTCGACGCTCAAGTTAGTGGTATGAAAGATAAGTGGTTAGGCCGAACAAATGAGAATAATGCTAATTTGAGCAGAAGAGGCAATGTAACAGTATGAGGAGTCAAAAGTCCCTTACCCTAAGCGGAGGTTACCTATTTATAGCCAAATATTCGTGTCCAATTCGGATGAGATTTTCGGGGTTGTCGGGATGAGATTACCTGCCAAGGTCTTCGAGATAAGTCCAATTCCCCAATGGACTTGTCTCCTATGTCTGTGCAGGACTCTCCTTGGTCGTGTTTATCCATCCTGCATGGTGCTGACGTGGCTAAAGGGATAAGGCGGCCACRGAGGCTGCCACGTGATGCCCGCAGTCAATTCAACCATAACCCAAACACATGTTTTCTGGTTATTTAATATTATGTTTTATAAATTATATAATATATGTACTATAAATTTGTTTTAGTTTTGAAAAATCACAATTTTGTCGGTTTAATTGTTTTGTTAAACAAAACCAACTTTTTTGCTTTTCAAAACAAAAATGTAATTCTATGGTGTTCTTTTTTTGTTTTYTTCTAATGGTGCAATAAATAAATGAAAACAAAAACTTCATGTCGTAGAAAACCTCCTTAATAATAGATTTATTTCATTTCACATACTTCTTTTAATTATTCAAATACATTACTAAAAGATTATTCCTAATTAGAACAATTAGGAATTAGGAAATGGTGTGAGCCACTCAAAGTTCTACATCCATTGAGTTCGAAAAACATGAAGGATATTGAACACCAATAAGGCTTTCGTTTCAATGGGTGTCAACTACTATTGCAGGTCTAGGTCTAGTCCATTTTCACCGACACCCACAATATCATAGGCCTTGTCAGGTCTCAGTAGCTCCTCATTAATTTGATGATTTGTAAAAAAAAAAGGGGAAAAGTCCATTTGGCAAGTATCTTCTGCATGGCCTTTCGGGCTTTTCAAATCTCATAAGACCAAAGTTATTTTTCATCTGGGAGAATGACTGCCCAGCCCACCTCAGAATTATTAGCCTCACTGTACAAGTGGGATGAATTCTGACCGTGGATTTGTGCCAAATCCATGAGCAGGATGCAATTTATAGGGGGCCATTAATAGACTATGGGGGCTGTAATTCCAGAATTCTGCCGTGGGCTGCAGTGTACTTCTTTGTTTTTGTTTTTGTTTGACAATGAAAGAAAGGAAGTTAGAATGACCCCGCATCCTAAAAAAACTCATGGAAGCCTGGAAGGTTGGAACACCAAAAAGTTAGGAAGCTTCAAATGAAGCTTTTCATCTTTTTGCACTTAAAAAATCTTTACTCTAACAACTCAGTAGACCATAGTAGACCAGGAAACTTATCCAATGGTTTGGGGGTAAAGTTGCCAACTTCCCCTTTTAATAATGGATTTTTACGGCTAAAATGGTCATTGCCTTATTTACTTGGAAAATAAAAGAACATGGGTAAATGCAATTACCTGAATAAGTTTTACTCGGATAAATATTTCCCAAAAAAAACTTAACCAATTAATTACATTTACGTAGATAAATAACTTATCAAAAAGCAAATGGGGCCTTAAAATAAGACTCCAAAAGTTAAATACATCTTTTGACCATCTAAGCCATTGGAAGATCTTGTTTAAAAGACTTGCCAAGTGTCACTGAAAAATCTAATTTGTAATTTGTCTCAGCAAATCTCTTACTTTAGTACTCTAACATCCATGGTTCAGTTTGAAAATATCTTCAACCAGCTGTCTGAAGTAAATTAGGTACTGCCATATTTATGGTAGTACTAAGGCAATTGAATGTTTTTCATTTTAGTTAGTGGAAAAGGACTTTAAGATCTAAAAAGGGGGGTAAAATCTAAGATTTATACCTGCTTCCTATAAATTTTAATATTTGGAAACTTGAATTTATTTTTATTTTAATGCACATCAGCTAGGTTCATATAATGTGTCTTAAATATATGGACCTAATTTGGTAGGTCCAATGTTGGTACAGCTAGACCTACTAATGGGGACAGGAATATTGGACATCCAAGTAATTGGGTACTTATTGTCACCTCTGCCTGCTTGTAGATTTGGCAGTTATTAGCTCTAGCTTGCTTAGATAAACATTCCTATTCATTTGCCGCACGTTCTTTGTTCTCTCTTCTTTCTTTCTTCTTCTAACGTATAATGCGCAACATTTGATCAAATCTTTCTTTCTTCTTCTAACTTTTGATGTGCAACATTTGATCAATGGGAAAGGATCAAAGGATTTGATCCCAGGAAAGAAAGGAGGAAAGTCTCTATATAAAATGGAATGATCATGGCAAAAGCTTGGAAGCTGGAAAGCCTGGAATCCCAAAATCTATGCTTGGATTTTCATTCTATGTTTGAGATTTATTTTGTTTGAGCATATTTAATATGTGCTTGGTACCGTTTATGTTTATTAAATAAATGATTGTACTTTATTTACTAGTAAAATTGAGAAGTGCAACAATTGCAATCGTTTATGACAATTGGACACCATTAGGCACCATTTCAGCGTAACAGTGAATAAAAACCTTGCTGTTTGTGGAAGCTTCAAAAATAAATTTTACAAATGACTGACATGCACATAAACAGAAATTCACTTTCTACATTTTCGATGTATGCAGAAGAGTAAGAGAGAAAATACTAAGATGACGCTTATGTGGCAACATCAATAAATGTAAATGATACCAAACATCACCTTAGTGCTGTCAAATCCTCATATCCTCGGGTCTTCCACTCATTGATAGCTTTAAGATTGTGTTTGGTTTAAAGGAAAAGGTATGAAAAAGGAAGGAAAAGGTAAGGAAACATATAAACATGTATCATCCCTTCTTTTAGCTGAATGAAACATAAACATGTGAGCCCATGTATCATCCATTCTTCAGCATACACATGTCAATGAGTCCTGTCAATTTCTGCTTTTTCTCAGTCTTTTTGGCTCGTCAAGATCTGCTCGATCGTCTAGAGTTGAGACACAAAATTGAAGGTAGATACGGGTGTCATGGGTCCAGCGCCGAACCGAGCCTGGTCTCCGGCTCGATCGTTCAGAGTGCAGCCCCTTGCAAAACCGAACCTATCTAATAAGAAACGCATTGTCAGGACTCGGGACTCAGTAATCCAACGCTGGATGGCTGGACCTGGTTACGCTTCAAGGTAATAAGCCAGAAAAAGGACACGTCAGAGATTCTTTGCTGTCCACCGGATTTGAAAAAGACGGTTGAATGGGATGAAGGGAGTGTGTCTCAACTTCGTTCCGTTTCCTTTTACCATCATCTTCTTAGGATACGTGGCATTTCGTGATTGGCCACATTGAACAACACTAATAATCGGTTCGGACTCTGACCTGAGATGACCGGAAATGCTTTTAATATGATGCCCCTTGTATCGGATACCTGTCCATCACCATCTCTATCTCGCTCTCTCCAATTTACATCTTCATTGCTTACTTCTTTATTATTATTATTATTATTATTAACTCTCTTTCTCCATTCTCTCGTCTTCTGATCTTCATGTCCAATTAAAATGAAGAAAGAGGGAGAGGGAGGGAGGTTTACTGATCATCCCTGCTGCTCATTGAACGGTAAGAAACTCACGTCTGTTTCTTATCTTTTTTGGTTTTCTTTTTCTGAATCTTGAAGTTTTTCTACTTGATATGAATATTATTAGTTTTAGAAGGAAGGAGTAGAGAAACCTAGAAAGGACTGCAGAAGAGTTGGTGGTAACTTCGTTTTCTCCTTTATGTAAGCTTTCTTTATTTGCTGGTTAATAATTGGAAGTGATTTTAGTGAAAAAGAGAGGAGAGGAGACCCAAAATTTTGTAGAGGCTGAGATGGGTTACCTCAGATCCAGGGAAGCCAGGTGTTATGTGAAAAGGGCTTCTTCTTTTTAGGGTCTTCCTGTGATTCTTGGGAGTTCGCCTTTCCTGTGTTCTTTCTCATGACCCTTTTTGTGTTCTCTATCTTGTGCTTATAGATAAGGCTTTGAATTTAATCTTGGTTGTACTCTCTCTCTCTCTCTCCATTTCCTGGTCGGATTTATGGGTTGGTAGCGATTTGGGGCCTTTTCTTGTTGTTTCTCTTTCACTTTAGTTGATAGGAGTGGTTAGTGAAGATTCCTGGGGGTGTAGTTAGTTGAGGGATCTAATCCATCTTTCCATTGTTTAAGTTTCCATAAATGGAAGTCTGGATCCATTGTTCCTCACCAGATCTGACCAGCCATTTCCAAGGTACTGCTCCTTTCCTCATTCTTTAGGCGCAGTTGAGTTCCTTTTATTTGCTCCGTGGGCGTTTGATGATTATGTTTCCTCTGTCGGCTATTGGAATCGATTTGCCGCCCAGATATTGAGTTTCTTTGGCATGGAAGGTGGTCTGTTGGAACTTGTAGCTCCGATGTTGCATATGGGAGAAGGAGATGAAGTAGTTGAAAAATGACAGGGCATGTGATTTTGGAGGGGTTGGAAGTTTGCTACTATTGCCACTACTCAGATAGGAGAGTTGATGGAGGAGATGTCTCCTGCAGTTGCAGTACCATTTAGGTTAGATAGTTCAATCTGTGATAACTCTGCCGTAGCACCTCACATGGAAATCACACGGCTCAAGTTGATAACGGACACAGCAAGTTTGTTGTCGGATCCAGAATCCAAGCTGTCTTCTGAGTCTGCTTCTGGTGAAGATGAAGGTTGCAGTTGTAGTGATCAGCAGAGTGAAGGTGTTACTGTAACCATGTCAGCTCCTCAAGAAGAAGTAGGGGGAGGAGGCACTGCTGCTTCCACAGAGATGGCAAAGCCAGAAAATGCAAGCAATTGGGTTGCTACTGATACTAAAATGCATGATAGTGAAGAAGATGATTCTCTATCTGTGGGTGGCGACCAAACATTAGATAGCCCTTGTTCTCTTTCTGTGGCTAGTGATACCAGTAGCCTTTGTGGTGATGAAATCTCATCTTCAGATACTGCTTTTGAGTCAGGTTCTCTTGGCATCCAGAAGAGTTTTGGGAATGTCCACATTATTGCAAAAACCGCCTCTTTGGGGGATTTAAATGTTGATCAGGAGCCAATGGATGATATACTTGCTGTACCATCAGTCCTTGATGTTGAGGTTGGAGAACGGTTTGATCCAAAAGCATCAGATAAGGTTCTTCAGTTGCCTCAGGAGAAAGGAATACGAAGAACAGGAATTCGCAGCGTTTTTGAATTGGATTGTATACCCCTTTGGGGATGCACATCTATATGTGGAAGGAGACCAGAGATGGAAGATGCTGTTGCTGCTGTACCTCGGTTTCTGAATATCCCTATCAAAATGCTAACCAGTGATCATGTTGTAGATGGTATGAACCAAAGTTTGACTCACTCAACTGCTCATTTCTTTGGAGTTTATGATGGCCATGGAGGCTCACAGGTACTTTTTTGTTTCCTTTGGCATTCTGACTCCTTTTCATTTTATATGTATGATGTGTCATGCATGTATGCAGTAGTGTTTATTTCATGGATCTGTGCCTCTTCAAGCAGGTTGCTAATTACTGCCATGATCGTATCCATATGGCTTTAATTGAGGAGATAGAAATTCTGAAAGAAAGCATGGGTGGTGGAAGTATTGCACATAATTGGCATATGTTGTGGGAGAAAGCATTCACCAATTGTTTTGTAAAAGTTGATGCTGAGGTTGCAGGAAGAGCTAGCAGAGGAATTACTGAGGGTAGGGATGATGCCTTTGAACCCAGTCCTGAGCCTGTTGCCCCAGAAACTGTTGGTTCTACTGCTGTGGTTGCTGTCATTTGCTCATCACACATTATAGTTGCAAATTGTGGTGATTCTAGGGCAGTCCTATGTCGTGGCAAGGAACCTATTCCATTGTCTGTTGATCATAAAGTAAGGCATGCATTTGTAGTCTTGCTTATGGAATTTATAAGTAGCTGCATCTTTTTGGAAAACCAATCCTATTTATTTACCTTTTTTTTCAGCCAAATAGAGAAGATGAATATGCACGGATTGAAGCAGCAGGAGGCAAGGTTATACCATGGAATGGATACCGTGTGTGTGGTGTTCTAGCAATGTCAAGGTCCATAGGTATGTGGAATTGCCATGATTTTGTTGCATTTTCATGCTTTTAATATCCAAGTTGTGTGGGTTTACTAGACCAGTGCCCTGAGATGGAAATTATACTCGTTGAAAATCTTATGTTTTTGTTAGTTTAAGCATAAAGATGCAAAATTCTGCATAGGGTCAAATAGTTGATTATGGTCATGTTCTGCATAAAGCAATCACATATTTTTGCTGCCTCTCCATTCTTTCAGTTGCTACAATTGTGGTTAATTGAGGGTTTGATTTTATCTTAACATAAATGAGACAAATCAAATTTCAGGCCTAGCTGGAATGCTGTTCAAGAAAGCAGTTGACTGCATATCTTGTACAATCTTCTTGTTCGCTCAGAATCCCCAAAGAGCATTTTTTTTTTGTATGAATAATGTTTTTAAATCCTTGTTTTGAAAAATGGCTGGACCATATGGATGAATTATTCAGACCTTTAGTAGGCAACACCTACAGTTATGGAAAGCCTTGGGTCATTCTCAAAACAAAACCATTTTGGACATTTGATTATGTCAACCCATATATATATATATAGGTGAGGGAGGGATTATGGCCTTATGGGAAGTAATGTTGGGGATTAACTGAAAAACTGATGGATCTGGTTTCTCTAAGGAGAGATTTCTGTTGATGTGCATGTAGGGTGCTTTATTTGTAGAAGTACCAAAATTCAGGCCAAAAAGCAGTTTGCTAGAAAAAGAATAAAAAGTCATGTTTTGAATTGAATACTTCGGGTGCAATTTAAATCATAAATGGTACTAAATTATTAATTGTAGTGTGTTATGGTTGGTTTGATAGAAGGTGGTTCACATCACTGAGGGGATTCCGTCCTTTTTGCTTCATATAATTGTGGCGTACTTGTCCATAGAGTTCAATTACTGGAAAGTGTGAAAGTTAACTGACTTTTTATTTTTAAAAGAATTAAATATTGTAAAGACATTGTGCTGATGTAATAAATTGACCCAGTGAATTTGGGTTTCAATTAGTGGATGTGCCATACTTTTAAGATTTCTGATTGAAGATGGATGCCATGCCAATGTAGTAACCAGTAAGCATGGATCTGCTTAGCTGATGGCATACTCGGTGCTTACAGATAATTGAATCCATTTTATAGGCTTGTGAATGTCATTATGGTTTCTGCACGCAATTATATAGTGTTATAAGTTTTGTATCATCTGTTACCATGTATTTATTGCTAAAAAATGGGGAAGGGGTGGGGGGAGGTTGGGAGGGCGGCGGAGTAGTGGCCATGTCAGCCTTGTAAATGCTTATCTTACAAGATTCTATAACGTTCTTAATATTGTGGTTAATCTGTAATGGCATACAGGTGATAGATATTTGAAACCATGGATCATTCCGGTACCAGAAGTCATGTTTGTTCCTCGTACCAAAGAAGATGAATGCCTAGTTCTAGCCAGTGATGGTTTATGGGATGTTTTGACAAATGAGGAGGTTTGTGAGGTGGCTCGAAGGCGAATCCTTCTCTGGCACAAAAAGAATGGTGTTACCCTTCCTGCAGAAAGGGGTAATGGAATAGATCCTGCTGCTCAAGCAGCTGCTGAATTCCTCTCTAAGCTTGCTCTTCAAAAGGGAAGCAAGGACAACATCACTGTCATCGTGGTTGACTTGAAATCTCAAAGAAAATTTAAGAGCAAAGCCTGACTGTGATTAAATTCACTGCTAATTTGGTCTTCTGGTCTATAACTGTACGATATACTCCAAGTTTATATGGTTATTACCATTAATGGATAACTTTGCCCATCTGTTTTTCACTTGGGCGTAATTGCTGTACAAGAATGGCTTTCTGTATGTACTATAGGATCTGCACCCTACTGGAACTCCTATCATAAAAGTTTTTGCCATACATCATGCTAAGTCTTGGCCATGTAAATTTGAGATGCCGTGTAGGGTAGGGGCTAGGGTTCTTTCCCTTGTAGTGGAGCTCTGGTTGATTGTATTTGTTTTTGCCTCCGAGTTCAAGGCTATGAGAGGTGTTTCACTTATATTGTTTCTACGACTTCCTGCCTTTTGCCTTGTAAAAGAAATACCAAGATTGAAAAAAAGGGTTTTTGATGTCTCTGTAAAACTTCATTTTGATTTCACTTCCCTCTACCAAAATTATTTCTATCAGCAAAAAGCAAAATGCTAAATAAACATCATTTTGTTCCTACCCCACCACCCACCTTTGGTGTCTGGTGTGATTAGTTCAGAATCAAGTTAGGTTTTAGTGATAATGCAGTCAGGGTTTGGATGCTTGTTTTTGGTATTCGGTGCCCTACACTATTAACAACTTCCCCCTTCACCCCTTTTCCCCCAAAGTGCTGGTTGCGGGATTCGATTCTGTGTTGAAGCTGGAACAAATCAGTCAATACACCACCGAGTCAGCTCTCGGTTGATCAGGGGTTTGGAGTTCTGTTTAAATAACTCGGGGGGTTCTAAGTTACAGGACTTGCACTGAAATCTGAATAGGCTTGCACAACTTTGTAATCCAGGGCTCCAGGCATGGCAATATGTTTTATGGGGTTTCTTTGGGGAAATGGTTAATGGGCATTTAAGGAGAATTTAAGTATATATGGAGGTTAAAATAAGTAGGAAGTGCTCACAGATCATGTGCTATTTGTTTAGACTGAATTTAATTAAACATGGTTACATCAAAAGAGTGTCAGTGGACCGGTTGAGGTGGATCCCATCCAAATCAAAATCAATTTGGACAAATTGGATGGATCACTAAGACTTATTGAATTGGACCAGTCAAAATTTGATGGTCCAAAGTATTTATTAGATTRGATTGAACCTGGTCCATCCGTAATGGGTTTATATCGAATTGAGGTTAAATTGAACCAATATCCTGTTCGTGTTGATAGAAGATTAGAATACAGGTGTCAATGGACAAATTGGATTGGAACAACCCTAGTTCCATCCCATCATTTACGTTGATGCAGATGATCATTTATGAGCAGCAATATTACGAAATGTCCTGTAACACCCGGCCATTCGTTCTAAAACTGTACAATTCCATGGATGGAATCATCCTCATTTGTTTAGAGTTCTAAATTCCTGGAAGCAAGAGATATGGTTTGTATAGGGCTTTCAAAATCAAGGCATGGAAAATGGTTCCATCTCTTTCCGACAGAAGTCACAAAAGGGGTGTTTCACTATTTTCAAAATCAAGGCATGGCACAGGTTCATTTTGACTACTAAGGTGTTGTTAGTTATTACTTTCCCCTTTGATCAACCTATAAGCTCCGCATTGCTGCCTAATCCATTTGAACTGTCTTCTCTTCAATTAAGAATCCACCGTAAAGGTTTTGATATACTGAGTTGTATAGAAAACTAACTATATTTTGGGGCCAAGAAGTACGATTTAGARCTGGGATCCTGCCATCTCAAAGCGATTCCACTGTTTTCTTGAGTATCATTGTGTATTGGACGGACTAATACAGGCTATACAGCAACAAATAAACAAGTGTGATGTGGCTGTTTTTGATTGATAATTCGACCAAGTGCAGCCAATGATGTGGCATCCCTAGATGACTTTAGATATCTTACTATTTGTATTAAGTTGTACACTAACCAATGAGAATTCATCAAAATTCAGGAGATGGTTTTGATGGGTCAAACTCAAACATGAGATCTTCTGGTATCATACGATTCATACCTACCCACTCTCAGCTCAGGTTTTAGAGTTTGACCAATCAAAACCACCCTATGAATTTTGATGAATTCCCATTGGTTAGTGTACAACTTTGCACAAATTGTTAAGTGCAGGAGATCTAGAYTGTCCCTTAGATCAACAAAGTACCAGATACCCAGAAACTGAATCATGTGGAGAGTTTAAAGTTTAACATGGCAGCAAAAGTTTCTTCTATTTTTTTCAGACAAGAATTACAAAATGATACAGTTTCGTCTGGTAAAAACCCTGGATTACCCTAAAGTAAGAAAAAAAAAAAACAAAATAAGTAAGAAGATAAGCTCTTAGAAATCGCAGGAAAGTTGTCTCATTCCAACTTCCAGGCATTTGGTTCCATGAGATGTTGCTGATATTTAAGATCCAATATCCACATCCCTGTCACCAGCGTAGGAACTTTCTTTTTCACTTCATTTATCTTTCTTCTGATAAGTACTCTCATAAACTCATCTCCAAATCTGAGTTCTGTAGAAATTAAAGGACAGTGTGTGTTAGCTTCTCAAGGACTGTGTGTTTTATCAAAATGCACTTAGTGATAAAATATCAGTTTTTCCTTTAAAACATATATTTTGAAATTGATAAAGTGACCTCATCTATAACACTAATACAGTTTTACCATCTCAAACATTTATCTTATTTTATTTTTCTTGAACCTATTTTCAACTTTTCATTTCCACCTTGATGTTATGACAAATTGTCCCTTAAAGACATAAAAATTGTCCTTTAAAAAAATTTGAAATGTCATGTTAACACTTTCAGTCAGTCACAGAAACTGAGGGCAACTTAGTGAAGGGGTTAAATAAGAACTCACCCGAAACTAAGGAGTAAGTTAATAGGTAAACCAAAGGGAGCACTTTTCTTTCATCCTATTTTCAAGGCTCAACACTTGTCAGTCTTGCATGATTTTGTTGTCGTTAGATAGATAGGTAACTTCAGAGAGAGCAAGATATTGTTAAACCTGACATGTTTTGAGTCCATTTGTGTTGCACCAATTGCAGGATCCCACCATTACCCTTTCCGATTACTTTAATTGTGTCTATGTCATCTAAGGTCAACTGGTTGTCCGATGGCATTATAATGGAATGCTGTACATGAGAAAGCACAAAATAAAGAGGTTCAAATTTACTAGAGTAGGTAATATAGGCATGAATAACATTGATAATGAATGATCACAATAAATAAACCAGGAGTAACAGAACATATGAAGATCACAGTCACCGTTCACAAGCTTAAGCCAGTGGTTCACTATGTCTGAGTTGATCAAATGCAAATTTTTATTTTTCTATGTAATTTCAATCTCATCCATCCAGGAACTTGGATGGAACTTTAATCGAGTTAGAACTTATTGACTTTTCAGTCTCAGTTAGGCAGGGGAGGATAGATTAACTGGTAAATTCCAAATCCTCGGTTTGACAAGGGAGATATTGCATAAGAGTCCTAACTCTCTTCACTCTCAATCTCAACACATGCAAAGCTGTAACTATTAATCAGCAGAAGCTAACTTTCCTCGGCTTCCTGGGCACATAATAAGGCTTAAGGGTAGTTTTCTGTTCATCCTCTGAAACACTAATGAAGAATGCAGGAGTCCAATTATGGAGTATAAGTTTCCAAGCATCGAGACGAGGAAATATGAGAAGCAAATAATAAAAAAGAGGGCGTACTGAAAATCGATTGATGTGTATATTTACCTCGCCGGCTTCGTTTTTTGGGACAACCCGAACTCCATCCTTGTTGACAAGCAGATCGCCGTCCCTAAAGGTACCACTTTGCGTTCTGGTACGAACACCCAACTGTAGTAAACCATAGAAATGCAGAGAAGATAATCACACAGAGCAAGAGAAAAAGTTTTTTACAGGAATTGGGCGATGAAAGTCTCATCTGGAGAAGGTAGGGAGAGCTTGAGCTTAGTGTTTAAGCTCCCGTTCCTCATGGCTTCCTAGTTCCTTGTCGCGCAGAAGTTGCAGAGTCGTTGCAAATCGCCTTATAACTTTGTCTTACCCAAAAAATAAAATTCTTTTGATTTTTTTTTAATACATGAAGGGTAAACACTGATATCTTCTTCGTCTTAAGAGAAAACTGAACTTGCACAGAGACAATCCAGTGAGAGACCAATCGAGAAACTCATCTCTCTAATGTCAAATTTTCCTCGTCAATGCTTGAAAAATCGGAGAAGTACGGATAGGCCCATTGCCGCGTGTTAAGTAAATTAAGGAGATAGAAAGTCGAACCCGGATGTGGATCCGTCCAATGCCATTTTCGAGTTCGCATCATGTGAACCCAAACACATCGCTTAGGTGTGTCCATGAAAAATCCAAAAACCGAAAAATCGAATTTAACTGAAAAAATCGAGTAGGAAAATATGGTTAATCGAATCGACTGGTTCGACTTTAATTTAGTATTTTTGAAAAATTGAAGGATCGGTTTGATTTTTGATTAACCTATAGGGCGATTAATCAAATCGACCGGTATATATTTATATGTATGCTTTATATATTATATATAAATCTATACTTTATTATATTTATAATAATTTATTTATAAATATATTATATATTTTTATAATATTTATAATATATTATATATAATTTATTATTTATAATATAATATTATATATATTATAAATATAAAAAATCGAAGAACTAAAGAACCGAAGAATCAAATCGGTCAAAAGTTGAAACCGACGAACCACTTAAACGGTGGTACCGATTTGGAGGAATGAAAAAGCTGGTGGTGTTGGTTCAGTTTACAAAAATTATCCAACAGTTCGATTAACCAAACCATACCATGAATACCTCTACACATCAGCACCTTCAAACGTTATTGCTGTTAACTCGTTAGTTGAAGGAATCCGGTTGAACCGGACACAAAATGACAAAAATTAGTTAATAGATCGAAGCATCCCATTTCCTCCTCTAAGCATCCCACTGTCGTCCGTGAACCTGAACACTCCCTCCCATTTCACCGGCAGCAGCAAAAAATCCAACGGTAAGCATGTTTGTCTATTTCTTCCTCTTTTTCAATGAGAAAGACAGAGAAATTACACTAATCAGTTATCAGAAAAACAAACCAATCTGCTCTATCGAAGTAAGAAACATGTAAAGCCGAGCAGGCAAGCAGTGGGAGAGGACAATTTATGAGACCCCTGCAAATGGCAATRTATTTCTGAATAAATTTGTGTAATATTTTAGTGGTTCTGAGTAATTAATTTTCCTTTTTTGAAAAGGAAAATAGTTATTAGAAAAGCAAACCAATTTAAGCAAGAAACATGTAAACCCGAGCAGTGGAAGAGGACAATTTATGAGACCTGCAAATGGCGATGAATTTCTGAATAAATTTATATAATATTTCAGTGGTTCTGGGTAATTAATTTTCCTTTTTGGAAAGGAAATAGTTGCTGGACTGGATATATTCGTTGGAAGATTCTAAAAAGCGAATTTCAAAATCCAATCTATCGTGTGAACAGCCACTTATCACTCTAAGGAATCAGGATTTGGTAGCCAAACTTGTCACATGAGTACTGTGTTCAAGTCATTGCATGGATAGCTGAGGGAGTTTGTAGTTAAAAGATCCATTTAAAAATGGAGCAAGTAGAAACTTCAAAAGCTTTAGAGAAGTTTTTGCTTAGACCTACAAAAAGATAGTGTGGTGTGGATTCTCTCATACACGATTTTTTAGAAAAATTGAAAAATAATGAAAAATTAAAATAAATTAACAAGATAGATAATAAATTAAAAGCCCGAAGCCTGGGCCTGAGCCCGAGCCTGAAATTTAGCCCATACTGTTACTACTGATGAAGCGGCTGAATATATATAAATATATATATTAAATTATAAATATATATTTCAATAAATATTATATAATTTATATAATATATAAAATACATATTATATATTTTATAAAATATATAATGCTGAGTCGGGCCAGGTTTTTTTGACAAATCCCGAGCCCGRCCTGAAACACAATCGGGCTTATTGTGTTAGGCTTGAGGTCAGACCCACGGGCCTAATTACATGACCAAGCCTGACCGAGGTGCGGGCAAGCCTGACCGAGAGCTTTACCAGTTTGGTGTGGAAACAAAACAGGAGATATTGGGGACGAAGATGGCGGGAATGTGAGGTAGAGAGGGAGAGAGAGAGAGAGAAGTTTTCATCGAGTTCTAAGAAGATGGAGTTTTACCCGGTTCCCATTTACACCTCAAACAAACACGGCCTAATATTTTCGCTCTTGAGTGTTATGTAGCTTAAGGTACACACCTTTGATTATAGCATATCCTAGTTCGATAAGCAACCAATTAAGCCCATGTTTGGGAATTGGGAGTGCTTATTTTTAAGTGTTTAGTCAAATAATCACTTATTTTGGGCCAGGACCATACCAATAAGCATTTAATTGTGTTTGTATTCTTGAAAATAAGTACTTATTCAAGAAGCCCAAAATTTATGTTTATTTTAAAATGCTTATTCAATAATTGCCTATTTTCATTTTGGCACATCTTGGATTGCCATGTCATTTTGAAAATACCTATACTACCCCTGTTTGAAATAAATATATTTTTTATCACTCATGAGCACTTATTGTTGGAAAGCATATAAACTTTATGTCCTAGGTATTGAATTTAATGATATTTTGAATTGTATGTGAATGATAATTGATAGTTTGTGTTTTTAACATGTTTTGATAATCAAATAATTGAAATTTTTGTTGTTTGTATTATTTTACTAATTTATTGCTTATATATAACAAGAAAGAATAGGAAATTAGACACGGGTTTATTGCTTATTTATCCACCCCTACCCTTGAATATGAGGAGGGTAGGGTCGGAGAGGGTACAAGTTGAAAGGTTTAAGAAGACAGATAGAATCTAGAATTTACAAAACCCTCCCCAAGCCCACCCGTTGCCATCCCTAATTATGTATGATTTGAATAAATCTTGAGATGATGGTTAATCTTGAAAGAGGAAAGTTAAGTTGTAACAATATCCGTATTCACGGGGTGACCTAACTTGTTAAAGAAGGAGACCCTAATGTGTTATACAAGGAGAGAGTTTTGCTCTTTAACATTGACGGTCAAAGAATGAATCCACTTTTATCTATATCTATACTACTATTAAAGTGTGAATAGCTCCTATGGCTTCTGGAATTTTTTTGACTAAAATATCCCTCTTCCCTAATTAAGTCCCATATTTAAGACATTAACTCCCACTTTCTCTCATTAAATCCTATATTTAAGGTATTTTATATCATTAAATAACACTAATTAAATCAAGGTTAAAAGACTTAAACCTCTCTATACTATTATAAAAGTGTGAATAGCTCCTATGCTTCTGAATTTTTTTTTGAAAAAAATACCCCTATTCCTTAATTAAGTCCCATATTTAAGACATTAACTCCCACTTTCTCTCATTAAATCCTATATTTAAGGTATTTTTATATCATTAAATTCCACTAATTAAATCAAAGGTAAAAGACTTAAACATCACCTGATTTTTGTGTTAAAYATTAATCCTTATATTCTCTTTTCAAAATGCAATAATACCTTCCCTATCAAATGCTTTAGCATTATATCTAATAAAAAATTTTAAAAGACAAATATAACCTTACAAGTTACAAAATCAATGGTGGGCTTATGTTTAATGGACTAATACTTCCCTTCTCTCTCTTTTGGTCAATTGAATGTTGGAATAGTTATGGATTGGTTTTGACTCTAATAAACCATCTAAACTTATCTCATAATGAGTGGATGGGGTTTTTGAAAAATAAAATTACTTAAAATAAATAAATAATTAATTAAAATATCAATAATATTTTAAATAATTTTTAATATATAAATAATATAAATAATATCATTATATATGTATAATCAGGGTCAGGGTGGGGCGGGGACCTCATTCCCCACCCTCGAATCTGACCTTGGTCGGGGATCCCTATTAATCCATGTCCCCACTCCCACCCTGCTATCGGGTTGGAAAAGTTGGGTACCCATCGGGGATGGGAAATTGCCATCCCTAAAGTAGATCATTTTGTTTGATTTTTGGCAAGTAAACGACACACATGATGATGAGATATAAGCTATGGATTCTACTAAGAAAGTTGAAGGTTTAAGAGCAACACAATACAATGTTGAAGCTAGCCACATCCCAATCACAAGCTATATTAATAAAGCTTGAATGGTCGATGATAAATCATTTTTTTTTGCAAAACTTGTAAAAAAGGCTCAGTTTAGAAAGGGTATAAATAGAAATATGTACAATATATATAAATACATACAAAGTACAAGGTTTTGCATTCCACATATTTGCATTTGTACTCCTTCCAACCTAAGCCAATAACTAATACAAATATGTACAGTGCAAACATCCTTTCGGTTCACCACTTCACCTTCTCACCTTCAGATCTCTTCCAAAACTCATTGTGTCCTCTTATAATTTCACTTCTTCTACTTCACCCATTTGACTAATATACTTGGAGCTAATGTCATAAGAAATCGGGGTTCCCTCAGTCCCACATGAACAAGAATAAGTAGGCAAAAATGGTATAAAGAATGTTGATCCATCAATAAAAAAATTTAAATGAAGAAAAAAAAATTGCCACGTGCAATGCACGTTCTCATTTACTAGTTATAATAAATATCATACAATGGACCAAGTGCCTACAAAGTTTAGCTCCTTCGGTCATTCTCATTCCATAAAGTACTTACTTCTACTTTTTTATTGATAGATGACAAGGTTATGACTCCTTGTTTTTTTATAAGTTTTGAATGTTGAATTAAGTGGCTTGATTCATTAATTTATATTATAAACTTGCTTCCATCTAATAACTAGTGGGAACACATGTGATGCATGAGATTTGTGAAGCGAAAGGTAAATAATAGAAACACATAAGAATATACAATTGTTTTATATTTTTAATTTTTTAAATAATTAATAATTATTTATATTTTATATAGAAACCTTAATTAATTTCAACTAGGGTTGTTCATCAAACTGATGAAACCAACCAATCTAATCAACTTGATCCAAGTTAGTCGATTTTCTAGTATTTTCAGTTAGCTTTGGTTCAACAATTTCTCAACTCGACTAGGTTGGATCAGTTTCGATTTAGCCATTTGTAAACTGACCAAAATCGAATGACCTGATCATAAGTA